TGTTAATTTTAATTATTTTTTTGCTACCTGGGGTACACATTATAACCTAGTTTTGTGAAATTTGCAATCTTTTTCGTCAATTAAACGATATTTTTCTAAAAAAACAAACTCTTTTTCATATTAATGTGAATCAAGTAGGTTGTAGAAAAAAGTCTAAATGAATCTTTAATTTAAGCCCGATTCACATAAAAACTGTCATTAATGTCATTCAATAATGACAGTTGTTAATTTTAATTATTTTTTTGCTACCTGGGGTACACATTTATTGAATTTTTGGGGCAGATTGAGGTTAGGATTGTTTGAATTTGCGCATCGTTGCCACCCTTCCAACGATTAAATCGCGGAAAACAAACGAAAAGCGAAATTCTCTGAATATTTCAAGTGTTAAAGAGCCTTACATAACCTATCGGTTATAACCTCAATTACTTTAATAAAACACGTGTAACACTATGAAGGAAATAACTTTTCTTATCACTTTCTTAATTAACTAATTGCCACTTATTTCGAATAAATTGTGCAAAGTAATAAATGTTTACATGTGGGTAGACAAATTTTACAATTTAGAAACCAAAACATTACAATAGCTTGGACTGATTTAAAAGAGCACTTTCACAATTCCATTTTGGGTGATTTATTGACTCTAAAACCCCTAAACTAGTACCAGTGGTACCACCCACACAGAATAAAAAACAAGGAAATGTCCACAATTTTATGTAATAAATGGGGCCTCCACGGGTGTTATTGCTCATTTATCGCTTAATGGCAATGTCATAGGTCAAAGATAGTACCCTTCACCTCGTCCAGTCTGTTATTAAACACTTTCTATAGCTATAATATGTCACTCCAGTCGTGCCAACCCCCGCGGCGGCCATTTTGACAAATCTCCAATGATCAACAATAGTCTTTGTTTTGAATGCGAATGGGAGCAAAAAGATTTACAGTTGGCTGTGCTACCGGTGAAATGTCTTTTTTAATGAAAGAAATAAACATACGTGAGGTAAGGTCAAATAGAAATGCCCTCGAGGCACTTTCACTTAGTGTCATCATCTTTTCCTATTTGTTTATTGGTCAAGAACTTTGCTTTTTGCTCCTTGTGTGCGGTACCATTTGTACCATCAAGGTGAACCCCTTTAAGGGATTATTGTTTTGCAAAGAAAGAAAAAAATTATTGATGAACCAGTCAAGGTTTAGATAGTCCGGTCAAATTAGTAATAAAAATAGTGGTCAAATAACGAAAATTCCGACAGAGCTAAATTTTGGTGGAGACCTTGGGTACACCATTAGAAATAAAGTGTCAAAAGTCCCCATCGATCCCATGTGTGCTAAAAAAGTTATTCGGTGTCAAATGTCAAAATTTGACGTTTTTTAGATTTTTTTCGAAAACGGCAAGTTTTATCAAAAAAGTAGCCCAGACAAAAATTATAGATCTTAAAATTATCTACAAAATGGTCTTTATACTTTTTTTCTAAGAATCACCATTCCTGAGATATCGCGATTATAAAAGTTGAAGGAGCAACGTTCTACATCATATGCACATACAGAGTGCGCCAGAACTCGCGCCCCAAAGACAAATGCCATGTAGGGTAAGGTACCAGGAACATAAAAAAAAAATTAAAAATTCTGTCTATAAAAATTTCAAAGTTATGAGAGTTTAAATTTTGCACTTTGACTCTATTTATTTCTGTTGGAAAAATAATTTTCCAAGTTTTTTTGCTACAGGCTATTAGAAGCGGAAACAAGGAAGCTGTATTCTAAACTGTAACTCTGTTTAATGTTATTTATGGCTTTTATTGACAAAATTTTTGTACCTTTACTAAATAATTATAAAAAAACATATACATGGTCATCAGTATTATTAAATAGACAAAAAAAATGTCAAATGTCAAAATTTTTTGACAGATTTTTTAAACATTTTTCCAGTACTCTGGGAACTACCCAATTACTCCCTTTCAAGGAAGTGCGCGATTTTTTAAACACCCTGTATGTATTACCAAAAAAATTCTTTTTAATTCTAATGGAATCGAGATATTTATAAGTTTAATGGAGTAGAAGAAAAATTTCAAGTAAGATAAGATACCAGGAACATAAAAAAATGTTTAAAAAATTCTATCTGTCAAAAAAATTTGACATTTGTTTTTTGACATTTGACATTTTTTTATGTCTATTTAAATATTGATGATTTTGTATATGTTTTTTTACAATTATTTAGTAAAGGTACAAAACTTTTGCCAATAAAAGCCACAAATAACATTACAAAGAGTTAAACTAAATTAAATGATTTTTGATGTAGTATAAATTGACAATTTTAGACTTTCTTTAAATGATATAGTATATTTTGGGCTATATTCAACTTTTTAATTTTAAATTGAAATCCATTTTTTTTTCCTCATAATTTGGAAGATATTAGTTTTCTTGGTACAGACATATGCAATATGTTTCACTTTTACTAGAAATAAATGTTTAAAAAAATTGTCAAAGTTAAGAAAAATTCATAAAAAATAATAAAACCTAGTTGCATGGTGTCAAAAAAACAATGCCACTATGTAATGTCAAAAAGCAACAAATGAAAGAAAGTATTGTCGATATTTTTTCAAATCTAAAAAAAAATGACAATAATAATTACTTATAACAAATCAGAAAAAAACATTTAATTTAGGGTGATTAATTTATTTTATTTTTTATTTATTTATTTATTTGGTTTACATTTAAGATTACTGTTAACGTCAATTTTTTATTGACACCATGCAACTAGTTTTTATTAACTTTTACTAATTTTTTTTTAACTTTGATAATTTTTTTAAACAATAATGTTTCGTAGAAGTAGTCTGTATCAAGACAACTAATAACTTACAAATTATGAAAAAAAAATTTTGGGTCCCTATTTAAAATTAGAAAACCCAAAATATACTATTACATTTAGAAACATTCTAAAATTATCAGACTATACTGTATTYAAATATTTTTAAAAATCACCCAGTATAATAATAAATCATTCGACAAATTTTTCATCAAATTTTTAGAATAAATAATTTTTTTACATAAATTTATTAAAACATTCCATAAAGTGACAGATTGCATAGTATACAGGGCTGTCAAAAAATTCGCCTACTTCCTTGAAAAGGAGTAATTGGGTACTGAAAAAATGTTAAAAAAAATTTGACATTTGACAATTTTATGTCTTTTTAATGATACTGATTATCTTGTATGTTTTTTTTTATAATTATTTAGTAAAAGTACAAAAATTGTGCCAATAAAAGCCACAAATAACACTAAACAAAGTTACAATTTAAGATACAGCTTTTTTTTCTTTCTTCTTCTAATAGCCTGTAGCAAAAAAAAATGGAAAATTATTTTTCCAACAACTCTCATAACTTCGAAATTTTTATAGATAGAATTTTTTTTACATTTTCTCAGTACTCTGGGAGACTACCCAATTACTCCTTTTCAAGGAAGTGCCCGAATTTTGAGACACCCTGTATATTTCAAATTTATATACTTCTATTATATGGTTATACTCCTCGGCTATCGCCTCGGAAAGGGATAAAAATTAACAATTTTAGTGTCTTGGCATGTAAATAACTATTGCTTTAATAAAGTATTTCGAAATATATTAAGGATTTCATTATTGCAGGACCGGATTCAATTTTTTTAATGACATTTTAAATATTTTTTCCATAACTTTTTTTTTGTTTCAAACGTAAACATCTTATATTTTTTTATTTGTTCATGTTCTATCAATTCTTTTACTGGTGAATATTTACAGTTTTTAAAAATAAAAAAAAATGTTATTTTTTAAGAATAACAATACTGAATTCGAATAAATAAAATACAGGGTGTTAAAAAAAGAATGTAAAATATTCAAATATTTAACGAGATAATATTATGGACCAAAATAAAAAAAAGTCCGCAAAGTAACGGTTTCGGAGACATCAAATATGTAATTTTTTCGAATTTTTACTAGAAGCTTCTCTTTTTTGTTTGAACAAACTGCAAATAAATATTTCTTTATTTTGCGGACCCATGTTTATATATCCATGAAATATTTTACAATCTTTTTTTAACACCCTGTATAATCATTCATTGATCAAATCATTTGGCAAATTTTTATAATAAATTCAAATAATTGCAATTTCAGACATTAAAGTTGTTTCTTACACTGATATGGTAAATATATCAAACTGGAAAAATTTGAATCGTCTATAAAATAGCACTTTTTTGACTCGTATGTCACTGATGACATTTTTTTATATAGTTACACTCCTCGACAATCGCCTCGGAGAATAAAAATTTCAACTTTAGACTCTTAGTACTGTCAATTGCCTTAATAAGTCATTTGGGGTTCCATAATAGCAGAACCGTATTTAATTTTTTTAATGACATTTAAAATATATTTTCCACAACTTTCTTTGTTTCAAATATAAACATCTTTTTTTTTTCTATTTCATCATAATTTACTAGTTTTTCATCAAATTTAATTAAACTTGTTTTTTTTTTGCAAGTATTCAGACATTGCCCCACCATATAAATTATTCACATCGAAATAAATCATCATTTTCGGCCAAAACAATACCAATTTCAACTCACCTTTACTCAACCCTTTATGCAACTTGGCGGCAAAAATCTCCCTAACTTGCTTCACCTCATCGACCATCAACTGTGAAAGATTATAAAACTGTTCGGCTGTATACTGATCACCGACACCTTTCTGTTCGCAAACTTTCAACATGGCGCAACCTGCAGCCAATCTCAACCATGACATTTCACACTTTAACAATTTCCCCGATTGTAACAAATCCCCTTTATGTAAAATAAACGCATTCAACATTCGAAAAGTTTTCTGTGCCGAAGCTGTATCTTGTTTCAGACCTAAAAGCCATCGAGCCATGGCTTTAAGCCCCTCGATTTTGCATCGTGTCTCTTCGGGAAGCTCCTCTTCGGGACACCACAACTCCGAATCGGACATATCAATATCCCGTTCACCCACTTCCTTCACTAACAATTCTTTAACAATCTGAAAACAACAAGAATTAAACCGAACCGGACCGCAGACTAAACACTCACCTTTCTCGAGACGATATTTTTAATCTGGACTTTGTAACGTTCAGGTACATTGAACGCTATATGACCTAATGTAACAATCGCAGTCCTGTAATGGGGCGACGTGGGGGCTAAATTCTCCTTAACACTATTCAAAATATCGGGGAAGAGGTGTTCATGTAGCGCTGGCATATTTTTATAAATACAATGAATCGCCCCCTTGGCTTGTTTCGGTGTTCCTGTTTGGGCCAAATTCTTGCAAATGGGGGCTAAAGCGTCCATCAAATCGGGAAATTGCTCGTCTAGAAACAACCAATCAAAATTAATCATCACACACAAAACTAATAATAATAATAATAATAACTTTATTTAACGGTAATATCCTTTACATTAAGTAATAATAAAATTATAATAGAAAACAGGCAACATAATTAAAGAATACTAAATGAGTGATACATTCTGGGGCTCATTTTTTGTGAAAATAATATTGGTTAAAACTGCATCCCGCTATCGTCTTTTGTTTTCGACTTATAGACAAAAATTGACATTTTAGCGAAATCTAAAAAAAATTATATCTTCGTTATTATAGAAGTTACAGATTTGAAATAAAGACATTATACAGGCACTTTTTTACGTAGAATTTAATAATGTAGTTAACAATTTTTTTCAGTTGTTTGTTTAGCTCTAATAAAAAAAACTTGTATTTTTTTAAATGGGAATCATAGATGGCTGTCATTTTTAAAAAGCTTGTTTTTTTCTTATCTAAAAAATATATATTTGTAACAAATTATTATAATACATTTTTAGCAAAAAATTATCTTTGATTTTTGTTCGCAGTTGGCCATGAAAAAATGTTGCATCTTCAACTAAAAGGATTTAAACTATATTATATTCAACCAGTGTCACTAATGAAAGGGTTTTCTAAGTACTAAGTAATGAAAAAGATGCAAAATAAATTGTAAATCAACTTATTGGCGACTAATAACATTTCTTTGTTTTTAAACAAGCTAACATTACCATTGCTATTTCTAGTGATATATAGTGTTGTAAAAAAAGCCGCTTTAATTCTTCAATAAAATATATTTTCTATGACACAAAAATGACGATATGGCTATTCAAATACCCAAATTCCGTCTATGTGAAATATTATCCTACTTCCATTACATCATCAAAAAAATGTTTTTTCTAATTGTGTTGACTGTTGAGACATTTGTTTTAGATTTTTTAGAAATATGTAATAATTTTGTTCTAAGGCGCTCGAATATTTGTTCAATGCTTTTACCGTATCGTATTTTTTAAATCTTTATAATTTTATCTATTTTTTCATCTATTTTACAGTTCACAAAACTCTTATTGATTATTATTTACACATTTGGAGTGAAATAGTTTTTCCATGGCCAACTATTATCAAACAAAATATGTATTTCACTTTTTAAGTATAGTTATAAAAAAATAATCTGTTACAAACATATATTTTTTAGATCAGAAAAAAATAAGCTTTTCAAAATTGCCACAGCCGCCAATGATTTTCATTTAAAAAAATACAAGTTTATCTTATTATGGCTAAACTAATAACTGAAAAAAATTGTTAACTACATTATTAAATTCCTCGTAAAAAAATGTTTTTATTTCAAATCCGTATCTTCTATAATAACGAAGATATAAATTTTTTTAGATTTCGCCAAAATGTCAACTTTTGTCTGTAAGTCGAAAACAAAAGACAATAGCGGAATGCGGTTTTAACCAATATTATTTTCTCAAAAAATGAGCCCCAGAATGTATTACTCGTTTTTGGCTAAACCTCTTAGTTTCGAAGATTCCCTATTCGGCCATCCAAAATGCAGCACCCTGTACAATGGATTCAAATAATTTAGAAACTCACATAAACATCGGTATTTTCCCAAGAATGTGAAAACGGACAACACCAATGGTGCCACATTTTCATCCTCCAATTTCAATAATTCCATTAATTGTTCCAAAACATCGGCGTATTGAAAATGACAGGGGAATACCACACTCAACATCACTAGGAGTTTCAATCCACGATCACCAGCTGTCGCTGGATGAAGACCGACTTCGTCGATGGTGTTGCCCCCTTTGAGACAATCCTCCACATAGCCGACGAGAAGTTTGATTGCTTCGTGATCGATCATCACCGAACTGATGCGTTCGAGGAGTTTTTTAACAGTGTTGTAATAGAGATTTGTCATCACTGGTTGGCCGAGTTTTTTGAGGACTGCAGCGGTGGCTTCTGAACATTCGTGACAACTGACTGATGGTCGGGCTACCGTTTCCATTGTTTCCAAAAGGGCGCTATCGCGTTTCAAATGAGCGCTGAATTTCGTAAGGAATTCGTGTGCCTTCACCGGCTCGGGTAGACATCTAAAAAAAAAAAAACAACAACTACAAATTAACACTTTGGTACGCGAGGACGAAGCACGAGTGCGCAAACAAAAAAACTATATCAACTAAGACAGCTTTGAAATTAAAAAAAAAAATCTACAAAATTTGCAGTATAGTAGGCGAGGACGAAGCCCGAGGGCACAAACACAAATTTTACACCAATTTTCCTAAGACAACTTTGAAACTAAAATTTAAAAAAATGTCAAC